GGGGGGCTTTCCCGTTCTGAGCAGCATGACCTCATCACCGGCCCGGGCCAATCAGGAAGCAGCCGCCGGCCGAACAGGGGAATTCCGAGCAGCCCGGGTCCGCCTTTAGCGCCAGCAGGAGAAAGAGGAGGGGGGGAAAAGGGCGAGCGTTTTAGGACTTTGGGGCGGGCCAGAGTGGGGTGGGGGGCGGGGGGTGGGGGGGAATGTGGGCCTGGCCCCGGTCATGAGTGGCCTCCGACCGACACAGCCTCGCCTGCCCCGGGAAGAGATGTTGGTTCACCCTCTAGGTATGGGGGGCAGCCGGGACCCGAACCGGGGCGGGTGGGGGGGGGGAGAGAGAGGTGACCGGCCCAGGGAGGCTGGGAGCTAGTTTTCTGGGTGGTGGGCGGGCTGGCTGGCTTGGAGAGGGGCTCCAGAACCCCGATCCAGAGTTTTTTTTGGGGGGGGGCTACTTGTGAGTAAGAGCCTACGGGGTGTCGTGATGTGGTTCCTGTCCAGCTCGTGCAGCTGCGTGGCTCCTTGTTTCGCTACCCTGAAAAAGGAAGGGGAAAAAAAATAAGGTTTGGGAGGGAGAGATTTATTCCTGCAAGGGCTTAAAGGGATCGCGAGCTCCAGGCACCCACGGGAGAAGCGATCCGTCGTTTCTCAAGGGGTCCCCAACATGTTGCGCGGTCCCTGGGTAGCTGGAGAGGCACAAAGCTTCTAACCCATTGAACTTCATCTCACCCCTGCTAACTTCTGCAGGGCAGTTGTCATTAAAAGAAGTGAATCTGGTTTGTGATTTTTTTATTACGTATTTCTTGGTCTCACCGGGCAGTCGTAGGAGGACAGGTTTTCTCAAAAGTAGTTTGTTCCTCTTTCTCATACGAACGGTGAGCAGAGAGAGGTCCGTGTGTCTTTGGGTGCCAGCAAGGAAAATATTCCCCCAAACCTCCCACTTTGCATGATTTGATGTCTTTCGGGGTAGGATCCTGGCCGTGCAGATGTTGTCGGGTTGCAATGGGCTGTGCTTTTAAAATGTGTTTTGGCTCTTGGTTTTTCGGAATGGGGTGAAAATTCTGCCGGGTGCCGATTTTGGGATCGCTCGGACTTGGTTGCCTGGGGTGAGCAAGAATTTTCCCCAGGTAACCAGACAGGGAAGCTTTACAGAAAGCGGTAGGTTCTCCTACAGAAGACTCAGGAGACAGATGTGCAGGCAGGTAGACTAGTTCAGCTTGGGTAAACCTGTTTGCAGAGCTGCACATTTTTATCTGACATCACTTAAAGTATTCTGAAGTGCTAGTAAGTGTATCTGATATATTTAAGGGTCATTATCGCAACCGAAAGTGCACCATAAGAGTGTATCGAATTTCTAGCTGCTGTGGTTTAAGGAAGCTGGCTGGATAGCTCAGTGAGTTAAGTATCCAGATGTTAAGAGTTCGATTCCCCACTGGGCCTCCAGCAATAGCTCAGTGAGTTAAGTATCCAGATGTTCAGAGTTCGATTCCCCACTGGTCCTCCAGCAAAAAGAGCCAGCCTGGGTAGCCTTGGGCAAGCTGCACAGTCCCAGGGCTCCCTAGAGGAAGGGAATGAAAAAACACTTCCAAGTAGTTTCTGCCTAAGAAAATCCCGAAAAGGGTCGCCGTAAGTCAGAATTGACCCAATGGTACGTGATGATTATTATTATGGTTTAGGGATACAGCCTTGGGTCCTTTTAAAGAGAAAGGTAGGTTAAAAAATAAAGGTTGGGCAATAAGGAAGGCACAACACCATTCTTTTTACAAAAGAATGTTGTAACTGGCAGCATCGTTACCGTCCTCTAAATAACAAATGATGTTTTGGTTGTTGTAGGTTTTTCAGGCTGTTTGGCCATGTTCTGAAGGTTTTTCTTCCTAACGTTTCACCAGTCTCTAAAACGCAACAAAGCCTGGCTCCCAGAACTGAAAAATACAGCCTGAAAAAAGGTTAACAAACTCTACCCAGCCACAAGGACTCGTGATCACTGCACACAAAAGACTAGGTAACTACGCCCATCAGTCACAGTGACAGATCATCTCCCCCCCTTATCACAGCAATACACCCATAACAAAAAACACCCTGATCACCATAATCACCCAGTCTCCTGAAAAGGAGAAAAAGCTGATCCCGCAGCTACAAATACTCAACTATCCCACACACTACACCAGAACACAGACAGAGTTCTAACCCCTGTTCTCTGAAGATGCCGGCCACAGAGACTGGCAAAATGTTAGGAAGAAAAACCTCCAGAACATGGCCAAACAGCCCGAAAAAACTACAACAACTTTTGGATCCCGGCTGTGAAAGCCTTCGAGAATACAAAGTGATGTTTTACTTGTCGCTTCTTCTTGTTAAATTTTTGGGACATAATGATATGTTTGGGGAGTATTTTTAAATTCCAAAATTCCAGTCATTCTCTTTCCATTTTAGCTGAATTATTTTCCCCCACAAGGAACTTGAAATGTAATGGAGAAGAAAGGAGGAGGGTAATGATTAATGTAACAAGTTACCAAAACTATGAAACCATGTGATTTTGAATTTTAGGAAATAGCACAAGGAGTCTAAGCCCATAGGAAGGCTCTTTGCCTGGTGCAGGAAGAGTTTTTGTTTCATTTCATTGTGTTTAAGTGCCTTTTCCTGCTGCCTTTTATTTTAAAACTCCCAAAGCAAAGAGGTTTGCAAACAGTGAAGCTGACAAATGCAACTAAGAAAACTGGCTAATAAACCATGCAACGGGGCGGAGGATGACAAATTATTTCATTAGAGTCACCAGGCTTAAGTGGCTGGGTTGAAAATACCATCGGGTAGGAAATTTGTTTTTAATGGGCAGCAGAAATGTCACCAGGCGAGCAACTGCTCAGTTTCAAGAAGCGTTCCACCTAGCAGGTGCCTCAACAGAGAAGGCCCTGCTAATGCTCCCCAGGACCAAGTAAACATTGCTAAACTTTGCAACCCCTTTCCTCATTTGTGGAGTGCACTGGGAGGGTGAGGTTGGGAGGCTCAACCTCAGTCGGTCCTCTGACATTTATTAATTCTGCACCAAAGTTTGGAAAAACGAGTTGTTCCAGAAAAACAACCTGCCTTAGTTCTATTCTGTCCATGGTGAGAGCCTAAGAATAAAGGAAAGGCAGATTTTTTTAAAAGGGGAAATTCCATTTATAAGACTGGATTAAGTAGTGTTTGTCTCCTGGATTCTGGGTAGGAGCTTCTCAACATCTTTCTTGTATGTGTCTCTTTCTAGGCGCTGCTCTTCCGACTTCTGGCTTGTCTATGGTGCAGCCAGCTGCAGAGACTTCTGGTAAGGATACATAGCATCTCATCTATGTGTGTTCCTCCGTTATTTATTTATTTATTAATTACCGTATTTTTCCATGTATAAGATGCCCCCATGTATAAGACGCCCTCCATTTTTCTAATCCAAAATTAAGAAATCTAAGTGGGATTTAGCAAGTGCAGGGGGAAAGGGATCAAAGCCCTGCAGGATCACTTTGATCCCTGCTTTCCCTTCTACATGTTTTTGTTCTCTCCTCAGCTTACTTCCGTGTATAAGACGACCCTCAATTTTAGTCTAAAGATTTTAGACAAAAGTATAGTCTTATACATGGAAAAATATGGTATTTCTCTCAAGCTGCCCCAGACCTGGAAATACTGATTTTCTTTTTTGTTTTCTTTTGCAGAAGAATTAGGTAAGCATTTGAGGGCTTGGGGTTACACAGCAGAATTTCAGGTAAGGAGAAATTCTTGGCTTACCTGAGGAGCGTACATTTATATGGCTTGCTTAAAGGTGAAATGCTAGAAATGACTCTGATTTTTTCTTGAGAAAAGATTTGCTGCTGTTGAAGGCATGTCAACATCCTGGCATACCATCCAACCTTTCAATCCAGAGGATGGGCTTACATCTATTCCCCGCAGATATGGGGGTCTTTCTTTACCTGAAGACCGTTCTTCACTATCATTGCCATCGTCCTCTTTTGTTTTATTTTAAAAACCCCATTTCCCCCCAAACTGCCCTCATCTGGGGCCCTCTACTCTGCAGATAGCATTCCCACCCACCCCCATCAGAAGCCTCCATGGGGTGTATTTTGCCTTTTAAACATATTTTATCCCTCCTAAAGCTTTTTCCCCTTGGGATTACTGGAGGGAGGGGGTGGCTCTCCAGTTTTTCTGGGGGGGAGAGCACAGATTCCCCTCCCTCCCATGTTCTCCATCCCCCCCAATGCTTGGAAGCGTCTCACTCTTGCTTGACACCTCGAATAATGACGGTCAATGCCATGAGTTCAATCTGGAACCTCCCTTCTCTTTCCTGCTTCCTAGCCATGATTGATGAGCTGATTAAAGAAGATGGCTTTGAGACCAGCATCGCGTCCCTTCAGGCCAAGGTCCCCCTGAATGGGCCGTCCAAGCTGATCTCCAGATGCTCCATCTTAGGCTCCCCCACCAGGATGCAAAGACTGGCCGAGCCGCCGGGAATGAGCCTCCCGCCGCTGGGCTTGGAAGCCTACGGGCCCCGCTGCCTGGCAGCTTCCCACCCGGCTCGGGAGCCTCCGGCCGCCCAGCTCACCCAGAACCTGACAAACTTGACGCTGCAACCCGAGTTGATCCCCAGGGGGGCCCCGCTGCCTTTCCTGCCCGGCGCCCGATGCGCCGACCCTCCGTGGCCGCCCTCCCTCCCTGCGGTGCCTTCCGTGGTGGTCCAGGAGCAGCTGGACAGCATCGTTCTCGAAGTCCCCAAGCTGGTGATCACGGAGCAGCCCAAACAACGAGGGATGCGCTTTCGGTACCAGTGCGAAGGCCGGTCGGCCGGAAGCATCTTAGGCGAAAACAGCACCGAAACCAACAAAACTCTCCCTACCATTGAGGTGAGCCGGGAGAAAACCGCGGCGGTGGGTGGCGGGGCGCTTGGGGTTTTAGTCCGAATTTTAAAAGCAGTATCAGAGGTGCGGGATGAGGGGGTCAGCATTCTGGATAGTTCCTGTGCACTTCAGATGAAAAGCCACAGCAGGTTTCCCTCCCTCCCCCTTTAGTCACTACCCTCGTTTATTGCAGTCTCCTGAAAAACGGCGCCTTCCCATGGCGTTTAGATTGGCAGGTGGCGGGAGGAGGGGAACCCTCCCATTGGCACTGCTGACCTGCAGATCCTCTTAAAACACAAAAAGAAGAGAAAAGCAAGGCTCAAGTTTTTGTCCTTTGTCCCCAAACTATTGCCCTCCGGGTGGTTTAGACAGTACAGCCCCTCAGAATTCATAGAACTGTAGAATCGTGAAGTCGGAAGGGCCCTCTAAGGCCATCAAGTCCAACCCCCTGATCAAGGCAGGACTCCAGATCAAAGGAGATCTGACACGTTGTTGTCCAAGTTTCTCTTGAAGGCCTCCAGTGCTGGAATGTTCACCAACTCTTGAGGTTATGGGTTCCGCTGTCGTACTGCTCTAACAGTTAGGAAGTTTTTCTTGATATTCAACCGAAATCTGGCTTCCTGTCAGTTGAGCCCATTGTTGCGTGTCTTGCACTCTGGGGTGATCAAGGACAGATCCTGCCCCTCCTCTGGATGACTGCCGTCCAAGTCTTTGAAAAGTGCTATCCCATTTCCCCTCAATCATCTTTTCTCAAAGCTAAGCATGCCCAGGTCCTTCAGCCGTTCCTCCGACGGCTTGTTTTCCAGCCCCTCAATCCTCCTCCTTGCCCTCCATTGAAACTGTTCCAATTTGTCAGCGTCCTTCTTGAGGTGTGGTGTCCGGAACTGGAGACGGTACTCAAGAGGAGGCCTAAGTTGTGCCAAGTAGAGGGGGAAATTCCTGTTCTTAATTCCCAAAAAATGTGCAGCATGTGCTGCTAGGAAGATGGAATGAGGGAAGTGGTCCCTGAGGTCCCCATCCGGCCGCATCCCAAGGTATGATAACTGGAGCACTCTCCTTCTCTCGGTTTGCCTAGCTCCAGAACTGCACCGGCATCCCCGAAATCAAGGTGACCGCCTGTTTGGTGTGGAAGGACTGGCCCTACCGCATCCACCCCCACAGTCTGGTGGGGAAAGACTGCAGTAACGGCCTCTGTGAAGTGATACTGAAGCCCCGGATTAACCCTAAGCACAGGTGACGTGTTGCATGACCGCGTGCAGAGAGAGAGAGAGATGGTGGCTCAGCCGCCTTTCTTGTGGATGATGGGTAATGTGATGAAGGAGCAGTTCTTCCAGCCTTCTCTGTTCTAAATCAGGGGTCCAGGGAGAGGAAGGTGGGGAAGATAAATTCATAGTTCTAGTGTCATCTTCCCGAACCTGCTGCCTTTAGGACCACAGTCCCCAGAATTTCTGGACAAGGGCCATGAGGGGCAAGTGGACTTTGACCCCTGAATTATCTGGAGGAAATCACGTTAGGAAAGGATCTTGTAGCATCTTCTCTACGAGAGGGCTATAGTACAGTGATAGTATACCAGCGCTCTGCCTGAAGGAGGTCCTATATTCAACCCACCCTAGATTCAGATAGGGTTTGGAATGACTGAAGTTGAGACCCAAGAGTAAAAAAAATATTTTCACATGCATTACCAGAACTGACCACTAGAGGGTGCAAGAGGGTGCATTCGTCACAAGTATTTATAGCACAGTGTCTATCTCCCTCTATGGTTCAGTTCTGGTAATACATGTAAAACAATTTTTTCCCTGGATTAAAAAATACATATTTTAAATATTTTCAGACCATGGATAAGTGAATCATTGGGTACTGATCCCGTGGATGATGGAGGGGTCTTACTATAATGCTTTACTTTTGGAACCTGGATGTTTCCTTTGTGGTGCCTCTTGAGCCTCACCCTTCCTTTCTGTTTGCTTTCTAGTTTTAACAACCTCGGGATCCAGTGTGTGAAGAAGAAAGATATAGAAGAATCCATAGAGAAAAAACTGCAGCTTGGAATCGATCCTTTCAATGGTGAGGGGAGCCATTAAATGTTCAGACATGAGAGGCGAGGGGCTGTGGGCTCTTTAACTCTGGAAGGGTCTTGCTTGGGACTGCTAGTGGGGTCCGATGAGCAAACTAACAAGGTCACAGCAGTGACAAGCGGTTAGGGGCTCAAGCAAAAGGGCATGCAGCAAATTGCTCCCGTTTCCTCCTTCCTGAGAGGGCCAAGCTGGGAGCAAGGAGCAAGAACGGGCTCCGGAAATTAGCTTTCACAGGATTGGAAGCAAGAGCAGGGGCCGTGGCAAAGTAGGGTTGGGCAAACCTATGGCCCAGTTGCACTCCAACTCCCATGATCCCAAAAGTTGCTTCATTACAACTCTTATCATCTCAGTCCAGATGGCCTAGGGCTGATCACAGCTTGGAGATAACACCTGAAAGTCAACACGTGCGCGTTAAAACCATCCCTTCTGTAGTAACACAAGGACATGCCAGACACAATAACATTTCAAAGGCAATATACAGTTGCAAAATGTTGTGTTTTTTTGAAGATCTGGTGCATTTCCCCCACTGAGCGGAAAAGCAATGTTTTTAATGTTAGCCCATTAAAACAGGTACAGTGGTGCCTCGCTTAACGAGCGCACCATACAACGAAGAATCCATATAGCGATCCCTTTTTGGGGATCGCTATACGGAGCTGCCCCAATCGCCGCACTCGCTTTGCGACGATCGGGGCGTCCGGCGGGCATTTTGGAGCCGCCGATCAGCTGAGCGGCGGCTCCAAAATGGCCGCCGGACCGCGAAAACATCGCTGGAGGGGGAAGTTTTGGCGCCTATTGGAACGCATTAAACTAAGTTTAATGCGTTCCAATAGGCTTTTCCTGCCCCGTACAGCGATGTTTTCGCATAGCGAAGGTTAATCCGGATCGGATTAACCTCGCTATACGGGGCACCACTGTACATTCTTTTTAAGCGCTAGTTTTGGTGTCAGACTTTCGCTCCTGCTTTGCACGGCTTCCGTGGTCGCTTGAGATGGGCGCGAACTGTCACGAACCATTTTCCCCCCCCGGTTCGTGCCCATCTCTAGGGATAACTCTTGCCCTGGAGTTATGTAGTGTGTGTTATGATCCCTTAAAAAAAGGCAGGAGGGACGACGCTTAGTTCCGCATCTGGAGGGCACAATTTCATTCTTTCTCTTTCCTGTGTAGCCGGCTCATTAAAAAACCACCAGGAGGTCGACATGAATGTGGTGCGGATTTGCTTTTTGGCTTCTTACCAGGATTGCAAAGGAAAGATGCATCATCTCAGCCCGGTCCTCTCTGAACCCATCTTTGACAAGAGTAGGTAACAGGGAACTCTGAACGAGGGGAGGTGGGCCAGCGGTTGTTTCTAATAACGGTATCCAAGAAAAATATTGGAAACTAAAAGTGAAGGAAGCCAAGGGCTGAGTGTTGGGAATTGGGTCTGTCCAGATGTTTCATTGGGGAACCATTTGCAAATCCCAGAAAATGCTACATGAGATGGTCAAGTGGTGCCTGGAGTTTGGTAATCAGTGATTTAAGAAAAGTCGCTCTACACATGCTCAAGACATCTCTTTTTCTTTGCTGTTGTGCTTCTTCCTCCTCTCCAAAAAAAAAATGACCCTTGATATTGGAGCAGGTGTGGTATCTCAGCCTGGAGCAGGCCCAGCATCATTCAAAACCTAGACTGTCTGTGTGTTTTTTCACAACTCTGTCGCATCTTTCCTACACCTTTCTGATGCCCTCCGGTAGACGCTTACTCTGAAGACGTGTGAGAAGAGGTAGCCATGTTAGTCTATGCTATCGTAACAAGCGAAGACAAAAGCAATATACAAAACGAAGAAGACAAAGGCGTGGTGGACCCTTAAAGACTAACTGCTATATTTTAACATGAGCTTTCACAGATCCGGGCCACTTCCTCTGAAGAAGGTCCCTTATGGCCAAGCGGCAAGGAGGACCAGAAGGAAAACCCTCTTGTCGTTATGCAGTTGGGCCCAATTCTAACACGGTCTGTTTGGTTGCCCGCAGAATCAACAAATACTTCAGAACTAAAAATCTACCGGATGAATAAGGAATGCGGCAGCTGTACAGGCGGAGAAGAGTTCTATTTATTATGTGACAAAGTCCAAAAAGGTACGTGAAGAGGACAGGGTGGCGGCGGCTTAAGCCTGCTGAGCTAATATGACCAGTTTGTCCGAGGAGGAGATAGAGACTCTTTGCCGGTGTCAGGTGTTCTCCCTGGTGGGGTGAAAATCCCAGGGAGTTCTGAAGGGATGGCGTGACGGAACTGGACAGGTAGAACCCACCAGCTGCCGTAGTTCCCAGCCTTGGGTCCCCAGAAGTCCTCAGACTATGACTCCCTGTAATCTTGGCCAGCACAGCTGGAGGCAAAGGCTTCTGGGAGTTTTTAGCCCAAGAACATCTGGGGATCCAAGGTGGGAAGAGCTGCCAGGAAGGGCAACAAAACGAGATGGAAGAGAAGTTTGCTTCAGCTACTTTGACCAGACAGGAGTTAAGAATCAAGGGAACAAAATTAGCCTGTTATTTGGGCAACTGTCCGATGATGCCCTGGAAGTATTTATCGGGAGGTAGGGTTTGCAGGAAGTTCTTTGTGTCGAAGGTGGTGGTTCCAAGAGATAGGTTAAGGCCTTCTGTCGTTTGCTTTCTCAGCTGAATATATTTCTAGGACTGCCCATTCAGACTCTCTCTGGAACAGCCAGACCATCCCTTGCCAAAGATCTCTGAAGCTCCGTCACCTGGCTTTTCCACACCTGTCCCTCACTCTGTGTCTTTTCTACCCCCCCCTTTTGCAGAAGACATCTCCATCATCTTCCGGAAGGAGGCATGGGAAGGCAAAGCCGATTTTTCCCAAGCCGACGTTCACCGGCAGATCGCCATCGTCTTCAAGACGCCGCCGTACCAACACCTCGACATCACCGAGCCCGTGGAGGTGGAGGTGTACCTGCGGCGCTTGACGGACAGCGTCTCCAGCGAACCGTTCAGCTTCACTTATCTGCCCAAGGATGACGGTAGGATTGCATAACTGGTTTCCTTTGTTTTTTTTAAAATTGACTCTAAAACACACAAAATTTTACAAAAATAAAAAATGAACAAAATGTAATACCTACCTACCGTATTTTTCGCACCATAAGACACACTTTTTCCCCACAAAACAGGGGGGTGGAAAGTCTGTGCGTCTTATGGAGCAAAGAAAACAGATTATATTTTCCTGTTTTCTTCTCCTAAAAAATTGGTGTGTCTTATGGAAAGGTGCGTCTTATGGAGCGAAAATACGGTACCTACCTACCCCCCCCACACACACATGCACACACAGAGAGAGCACACAGAGTGCCCCCTTTCATCAGGATCCTTTGAAGGCAAGCTGCCTTTGTTTCATTGACAATGTCCCCTTCCAAAACTGATCCTTTGGATGGTATGTGGCACTTCCCTTTAATGAGTAGTCAATAAAAGCTAAAGATAATTTTGTTTGTCAAACCCTCTTTAAACTTAATGTCACAAGGTAATTAATAGCGATATTCCCTTTTTTTTTATCATTCATTTAACTGAGATTCATGCCTCAATTTCCCGTTTGCCGCTATAATTCATCTCGCTGCAAGTACCATACTGTTATAAATTCTTTAAGTGTCCCATTCCAATAGGACTTTTTTGGGGTCCCCTCCCCCCGTGGGGACGTGGTGGCGCTGCAGGCTAGACCGCAGAAGCCTGTGCTGCAGGGTCAGAAGACCAAGCAGTCGTAAGATCGAATCCACGCGGCGGAGTGAGCACCCGTCGCTTGTCCCAGCTCCTTGTCAGCCAAGCAGTTCGAAAGCATGTAAAATGCAGGTAGATAAATAGGGACCACCTCGGTGGGAAGGTAACGGCGTTCCATGTCTACGTCACACTGGCCATGTGACCACGGAAGATTGTCTTCAGACAAACGCTGGCTCTATGGCTTGGAAACGAGGATGAGCACCGCCCCCTAGAGTCAGACACGACTGGACAAAAATTGTCAAGGGGAACCTTTACCTTTACCTTTACCACCCGTGTTCAGCACATGAAAGAGGGTCGCCTTGTTCTGTGGCGAAGGGTGAAATCTCAATGTGCTAAACCACAAGAATAGCTGTATGGCTCCTGTCTATTTTCCAGACACGTATCGGGTCAACAAAAAGAGGAAACAGGGTATGCCTGACGTCTTGGAGGAACTCTCTGGACCAGGTTGGTTTGTTTCTATAATTTTTTTTTTTAAAAAAAAATACCGCCGATCGAGTCAATTTCCCATTTATGGGGACCTTTTCCAGAGTATCTTAGGCTGTAAGTACTCTGCGGTGGTTTACTGCCCGCTTCTTCTGTGGGTGTCCTTGGATCAGGTCGCTTGCCCAAGGCCATACAAGCTGGCTTTTCTCCTGAAGGAGCATTGGGGAATCGAACTCTCAACAGTCACTGCGCTCCCACTCACTGAGCTACCGGGTCAGCTCCAAATGTGTATACTTGAGGGTAAATGGGCAGCCATTGGCTTTGTGCTGCGGGGGCAGGGGGGCGAAACGGCTTGTGAATTCCCTTCGATATCCCCTGTGTACGTCAGAACTGGGCATGATAAAGTTCATTTTCTTTCCCCAGATCCTCATGGGATTGAAGTCAAAAGGAAGAAAAAGAAGCCCGGGTACATGGATCACTTCAACTTGATGCCTTTGACAGGTCAGTAACGGAAACATGTCCGACAGGTGCTTCTCTGCCTCCCCACGCAGCTGACCCCTCATCAGCTGAGCAGAGAGACCCCCCCCATCTTGCCAAATTGGTCAGTTGCCAGGGGAGGTGGGGAAGCGCCGGCTGGGCTCCTTCCCAGTTTGCCTACCATTTGGCAAACTGAGGGGGCCAACGTAGTAAAGTCAGGATGTTATAGAAAGGCAGGGAATTGTTAGGGGTTTACTTTGCTGCTATGTTTCAGTGGTGGGGCGGCTTAGTGGATTTTCTGCCTCTTTGCTGAAATAAAACGCAGCTGATGGTGGGCCCCAGACACCTTGATTTGGGTGGTTGTCAGGGCTGCCCTTTGCCTTTCTGCCTCGGTTAGCAAAATGTGTTGGGCTGTCCCTTCTGAGGGATAGTTTCCTCCTCTACCTCATCCCTTCTAAAGAGGGCACATTGCCCATCATCCCCACATTAAACACCTATCAGAACCTTTGATGCCTTAGGTAACAAAAATGACATACAGGCACCATACCTGTATATCATGCAGTTTTTAACCAACGGCCCTGCTCTGAATCAAATCGAATTGAATCGAGTCAGTCAGTCAATCAGTCAATCAATCAATCATTCAATCAATCAATGTTAACCCTAACTCCTAAATCTCAGAGAACTGGGCAAGCTCTCATCCTCAACAACTTGTCAGTGTTGGGAATTGCTTTGCTGTTCTTCTAGCTCACCGCTCGTCCAGTCCCGAAGACAGACATTTCCTGGCCAGCTTAGAGCGCATCAGTGTGCCGGACCTGTTCGAGGACTACAGCTTGGTCCAAGACTTGGCTTCCTACGGCGGCCCCAGCCTGAGCGACGTCCTGCTGCCGTCCCTCATGGATTTCCCCAGCGCTCCGGAGCAGGAGTTTTTGCTCGACGCGTATTCCTTCCATTCCGGCATCTCGGCGCCTTCCTCTGGGGAGTGCGAGGCGGAGGGCACCGCCAGCCTGGTGGGGAGCAGCATGTTTCCGAACCAGTACAAAGAAGCCGCCGCACACCTGGAAGTGGAGGCCGAGCAGACCGCCACGGGACACGGGCCAGCCTTGTGAAGGAATGGGTGCTTTGGCCTTTGAGGAGAAAGACTGAGCCCTCCGTTCCTTTGGGGTGGGGGAAAGAAAAGCAAAGGAAGATATTTTCCCCCCTATGCCCACAGAAGTGACGGGAAAGGGTACTTTGATATGATCAAGGTTGCTCAGAGGGCCTTCCGTCCAGGAGATGGGTTGAGAGATGCAACAGCTAAAGGGTTGCACTTGGTGCTGAATGAGGTCACTGGCCCAAGAGACCTGTGTCTCTCTTCCACAGTTTTCTCTCTCTCTAAAATCAGGCTGGCGGTACTGACCAATTAGTTATGAAGGATGTGCGCATGGGCAGAAATGCACCAGTGAATGTACTGTTAATATTGTGGCAGAGAAGAAACCCAGTCTCCTTACCTGATGCATGCTCAACGGATATTTGCATTTGCTGTTGAATATTGTAGGACTGCAGCATCCGGGGCAGGGGGGAGGGAGATTGGTTCCAAGCCCCCAATGGATGTCAACAAACATGGAACATTGAACGCTATATGTACTGTACTGTACATTGCATGGTCTCTGGCTCCCTCTAGTGGCCGGTTCTGGTAAATACACCCTGGAAATACATATTTCTGGGGTTTTTTAATTTTGTATTTTCAGGCAGCGGATAAGTGAATCAGTGGGTAATGATTCCGCAGATAGAAGGGTTCTACTACATTTTGACCTGCATTGCTTATCTAACCTATCCCAAGCCTACAGACTCGGTGAGGACAGTTTAGATTGGAAGAGCTGGGGGCCAATCATCCCCATATAGACTGTTCAAAACTTGGGGGATTATGGGAATTGTAGTCTTAAATTTCCAAGCTCCTGTGATATTTTACCTTCCTTTCAATGAATGTATGAAGTCATCCGATATACGAAGCTGGTTTACGCTAATCAAAGCCTGTGATTTAGTCTTGCACTATTGGAATACAGCTCTCCCATGAGTTTATTTAATGCTGCTGCTCACCTTTTGATTCAAAAGATAAGAAGGGATGAACTGGGGAATTTCTAGATTCAGTGAGCACACGTCCATTCTAGCACTGAGCTCTGATCCTGCTATCCAGCATTCCCTTGTCTCAGAATTAAGGGAAAAAACACTTTTTTGAGGTGCAGCTGTCACTGCCCCATAACCATCGATGATAGGGGCAATACAGTGAAAACGATGGATGAGGATTTGGGGATTTATAGGGACTACATAGCCCATAGCCCCCACCCACCGCCGTTCTGTGTGTTCTACCTGACCGGCACTTATCTTACGGACACTTAAATGCAGCTCACCTGGGAAAAGGAGCCTAAACTGGAAGGATTTGAGTCTTGGCAAGGCCTAGCTTCACCCAAGTTTCCTTTTTCCACCCTGATGCTATTTTGGAGCTTCCTTTCTGGACAGGAAGCTAGGCCTAGCTTTCCAGTTTAGGCCCTGTTTTCCCAGGTGAGCCACATTTAGGTGTCTGTAAGGTGTGTGTCAGTGGGGGAGAATGCACCGAGTGGGGAACTGGAGGATCTGAACTCCATGAAATATAAAAATCCCATCACTAGTCAAAACTGGAGTGCCAAAGGTCCTCATTTCTGCCTTGTTCAAAGCAAGATCCATAGTGCCCCATTTTGAAACAATTTGGGCATCAACAGTTGGGAACAGTTGACACAGCTCTTACACAACCAGGAGGAAAGGGGAAAAAAGCAGAGGGTATTCTACAGAGATGGTCCTGCTTTGGGCACATCAGGTGAAGGTAGGATTTCCCAGAAAAGACAATAAATGCTGGGATAAGGTGGAAGGCAGCAGGAAAAGAGGAAGTCCGAAGGCGAGATGGACGGACTCGATAAAGGAAACCACGGAGTTCAGTTTGCAAGAGCTGGGCAAGGCTGTGGAGAGACCATTTTCGAGAGCGCTCCTTCCTAGGGTCACCGAAACTCAGGAGGTGACTCGATGGGCATAACTAGGGTTGCAAGAGTTGGTGTAGCCCCCCCATTAAGGTCAAGGGGTGACCCCCATAACAAATATGCTGAATCCCATCACGCTGAAGGCCCAGGCACTCTTGAGCTCATCCCAACACACAAGGAGGGGCCCTGTTTGGGGGGAGGGATCTGGCCCCACTTCCAATGAACACGAATTCACCTCCTGCTCCCCCCCCCCATTTCCACCCACCCCACATCAGTCCTTGCAGTGAGAAAGTGGGGCAGTTTCTCTTGAGGAATGGCTGCAGATGGATTTTTCCCCTTCTTCTTCCCCCCCCCAAAGCGAACTCCCCGAAAACTGACACGCTCCCCAATGATTCGGGTAACGAATCGATTCGAATAGCATATGCCACCCCGGCCAGAGGAGAGCCCGAAGCGCCTGGAGGGCTTCTGCGCCTGCGCCAAGTTCTGCCGCGTGGCGATCCCTCTATTGGCCACTAGGGGGGGAGAGGAAGCGTCTCTGTCCTACCCAAGACGGGGAAAAACAAGAGGAAGGCGGTGATTGGCAGGAGGAGAAGGCTTGGCGTCACGTGGTCCCTTCCCGGGCGAATTAGACGCTCACCCTATGGGCCGCTTCTCTATGGTCGGCGTCGTTTCCGCTTCCGGCCTAGGCCCTGCGACGCTTGGGGAGGAGGGTGAGCGAAAGCGAGAGGTGGTGTCCTCTAGCCGAACATCCTCTCAATTACTCACTTGACCCATTCCCTTTTTTTAAAGAGTCCTTGCATAGGAAAGCCACAGCCTATCTTTTCATGAAGGCTTTCAGGCCATAAACTACAACTTGCTGAAGCAGTTTTAAGTTGCCTGGTTAGATTATATGGAACCCCTGTCTGAATTTATACCCCGCCTCTCTCATTCACAAGGGCCCAAAGGCGGCTGACAGCAGCCAAAATTTAAAATGTTTAAATTATTCCTTCTCTGAAACGCTCTGCTTTGAGTTGATTTTTAACACCTAGGACCATTCGATCGATTTTTTTTTTTAAAAATTACCATTATATGGCTTTTTAAAATTTTATTTATTTATTTATTTATTTATTTATTTAACTTATATGCCCCCCCACACTCTACCAAAAGGTCTCTGGGCAGCTTACAACAATTACAATTCAATTAAAATATTTATTATTTTATTTATAGTTATTCCATGCTGTATGTGGTATTTTCGGGGTGCCATACATGGCCCAGGGTGCCCCTTTCATCGGAGAGGTGGCCTAGAAGTCCTTTTGAGGAGAAAGGTGGTGTGAAAAATATTTTAAACCGTAGCCAATAGGGAAATGTTAATTATAATAGAAAATGTTGATTATAATATTGGCAATAATGGAAGTAAAATAAATAATTAAAGTATTTAAGCTAACGATAATAAATATGCAAAACTAGAAGGATCGAGTGAATGCAATATTGTACTTAAAAAGCAGAAGCAAAATTCTAAACAACATGAGCAAAATAAGCTAAGTGATGGTAATAACAATAGTAGCTAAGATACATAGTCTTATTTTTGTTTGTTTATTTATTTAGGTTGTATGTTGCCCCATAGCACATGGCACTTTTTGGGTGGTTTACAATGGAAAATGCAATCAAATAAAACACAGTAGACGATAAATGTTCAATTTATAGAAGCCATAATTAGTCCTGTACCACAGACAAATTGAAATCAAATAAAAATAGGCAGTTAAAGGGCTCAAAAATCTCAGGCTAATATTAATAAAAAGCTTCTTTAAATAGAAAAGTTTTTACCTGCTTCTGAAAAGATTTGGAGGGAAGAAAGGAGCCTGTTGAACGTCTGTTAGAGGTTTATTCTAAAGAGAATTATAGTTATGCTTATATATGCACTCCCCACCTTGTCAAAGCAAAATTGGGGAGGGGAACTCTCATTTTGCTCCTTCCTATATATAAAAAAAGGAAGAAATGCAGTTTCTAGGAACCAGAATAATTTTTAAAAGAGGAGAGGATATGAAGGTGGATATGGAGGGTGATGGGAAAGATGGATAGGTTTGATCTGTTGACGGCTACCACCACCTTTAAAAAGTGGCTCTAGATTACTTAATAATAAGATGGTGCCAAGTTGATTCCAACTTATGGCAACCCTTCCCTGTTTTTTTTATTTTCTAAATATAAATTGCCCAGAAATAGTTTCCCCTTTACTCTTTCTGGGGGGTGTTTTGGAGCTGTGCAGCTTGCCCAAGGCTGATTCTTCTCCTGGAAGGTGCAGTGAGGAATCAAACTTTGAATCTCTGGATTAGATGCACCTTGTTTTAACTGCCGTCATATTGCCTTAATAAGGAAATAGGGGTGCTGCAGTGGGGCATCAGGTGGCATTCCTGAAGCTTAGAACAATCATATCTAAATAGGAAAGAGATCAGTTGTATGTGCCTCAAAGGGATATTCCGGAAACTTTGAACGGCCAGGGCTGGTTGTATGTTAACCAGGTGTGCTTGGAGATAAAATAGTGATATCATTGTTGCCTGTTTAGAGGTATTCTCCTGGGTTCTTAGGGCAGTCTTATATCGTGTGATATATTACATGAATTTAACCCTGGAGTGTTATTTCTGAAGTCTGGGGCAAAGTAGCATGGCATCCGTTTCACCTGCTTGTGTTTCATACCTTGTTTAATATTATTTCACATTTCTTTATAGCGTTGCTGGTCGATGTTTTGTGAACTATAGGCTTCCTAGTTTTGTTAACTATTCCAACGGTACGGCCCTTATGTAAAGAATTCCTTGATCGAGCCATACTGATGCATCTTCCATTTCTTGTTTCTGACTCTCCAACTCTGGTGGTTAAGCAAAGGGCCATTTAGCTATTTCTCAAGAAAGCAGTTACACTTTAAAATAAATACAAATATATGGTGGCATAAACGTTTGACTAGAGTTCACTTAATCGGCTGAATGTGAATTGGGCTCTAGTTGACTAAAGCTTTTTCTACTAAAAAATCTGTTGTGCAGGATTGTGGGTCAGATTACAGAGGGGCTCGGTGGGGGTTTCTCCACCTTAAGGTAAGTGGTAGTTGGTGGCAAGGCAACAGTCTGCCTTCAAAAGATGCCGTTCCAGAGGAATTCAGAAAACATTTATACCTCTCTTTGTGCTGAATGTACATCTTCATGCCAATGTTCTCATCTTGGTGGCAGACAAGGTGGCCTTTTAAAAATTGTTTTGAAAGCATTACGGTTCATCTGCTACACTTCAAGTTCTCAAACTAACCAAAAGCTCAGTCGGAGCAAATCTCAAGTTTCTGCTCCCTAAACCAAAGGAAGATGAGAAGTGAGGATTACTTGATTCTCTCAGTGTTAGTGACTACAAAATCTGCCACAATAGTAGCTGTATAACTGTTCATGTCGGCCTTGTTTTCTGGTAGATTTAACTGTTTTGTTTGCTTTTGAACTAGAATGTTTTTAGACCTCATGGTGGCTTGAAAATGTTCAGCAACTTGTGAATCGGTATATGGGCAGTGCTTCCAAACAAAACCCCAACACAGCAAAAGTATGCCCTTCATTTTCAGCCTCTCTGATTAAAATTTCTCCTTGCCAATGTAAGAAACTAAAAAGGTTTCCAGCTTCTATATTTTTGGATGAGATTCACTTGCACAAGGTTCTGGAAGAGACAGTTAGGTTTAGATTACATTAGGTGATCGAGGGTTATAATGAGGTTGCTTCTATATGGAAAGAAGGGCTTCCCTGTTAATCTGTGTACAATAAATAAACCAAGCAGCTGTGAAAACAAGGACTTGTATCATTGCACATATGTACGCTTCTTAAAATGTCACTTTCCCCTCATATTTGCAAGTGCATCTGCAGCTAAACACCCGCTTGTACCTTGATTAAAACTTATCTAGAGTGTATGGGGTGGCTGCATAAAATTATCTTGGGCATCTTGCTTTTAACTGAACCTGTAAGTTGAAGGTTGGGAATCTTGCAGCAACAATATTGATTGATTGATTGATTGATTGATTGATTGATTGATTGATTGATTGATTGATTGATTGATTGATTGATTGATTGGACTTATATACCGCCCCATAGCGCTACAAGCACTCTCCGGGCGGTTTACAATTTTTTTTTAATTATACAGGCTACACATTGATACAGGCTACACATTGGCCCCCCAGCAAGCTGGGTACTCATTTTACCAACCTCGGAAGGATGGAAGGCTGAGTCAACCTTGAGCCGGCTACCTGGGATTTGAACCGCAGGTCGTGAGCACAGTTTTAGCTGCAGTACAGCGTTTTAACCACTGCGCCACGAGGCTCAACAAGACCCTTTTGGGAGGCCCTGGACCCCAGAGAGGGGAGAGTCAACTAAAGTTCCCAAGAGCTGTGATTTGCCTTGCATCAAAGCTGTTCTAGCTGATCAAGTTGTGTTACTTACACATTTTGACTTCTGCTTTCTCTAGGGTGCAGCTTTCTCACCAGAAGGCGGCTTTGGATCTTTCCATGGGCTTTGCTTGGTGAGAACAAGAGCATCCGTTTCGACATCTCCCAGGTTCCTGCTCTTAGTGAGTATTGGATATCCACCTGAGGATTATTCACTGTACCTCATGTTCAGAAGTATACCTTTGGAGTACTCCCCCCTGGATCCTGTTTTCCATCTAGAAGTCATAGATTATTAACTTCATCATCTTAGAACTGCAGTGCTGGTTAAGGTCATCAAGTCCAGCCCCTGTCAAGGAAGCACAGTGGGGAATCAAACTCCCAACCTCTGGCAGTGCAGCTGGGTGCCTAGACCCCTGAGCTATCTACCAGTCCTCCCACTGGAAGAAGGCAAGCCAAAGGAATGCCTTGCGTGGGTTGCCACAAATGGTAATAAATAATTAAAGTATTTAAGCTAACGATAATAAATATGCAAAACTAGAAGGATCGAGTGAATGCAATATTGTACTTAAAAAGCAGAAGCAAAATTCTAAACAACATGAGCAAAATAAGCTAAGTGATGGTAATAACAATAGTAGCTAAGATACATAGTCTTATTTTTGTTTGTTTATTTATTTAGGTTGTATGTTGCCCCATAGCACATGGCACTTTTTGGGTGGTTTACAATGGAAAATGCAATCAAATAAAACACAGTAGACGATAAATGTTCAATTTATAGAAGCCATAATTAGTCCTGTACCACAGACAAATTGAAATCAAATAAAAATAGGCAGTTAAAGGGCTCAAAAATCTCAGGCTAATATTAATAAAAAGCTTCTTTAAATAGAAAAGTTTTTACCTGCTTCTGAAAAGATTTGGAGGGAAGAAAGGAGCCTGTTGAACGTCTGTTAGAGGTTTATTCTAAAGAGAATTATAGTTATGCTTATATATGCACTCCCCACCTTGTCAAAGCAAAATTGGGGAGGGGAACTCTCATTTTGCTCCTTCCTATATATAAAAAAAGGAAGAAATGCAGTTTCTAGGAACCAGAATAATTTTTAAAAGAGGAGAGGATATGAAGGTGGATATGGAGGGTGATGGGAAAGATGGATAGGTTTGATCTGTTGACGGCTACCACCACCTTTAAAAAGTGGCTCTAGATTACTTAATAATAAGATGGTGCCAAGTTGATTCCAACTTATGGCAACCCTTCCCTGTTTTTTTTATTTTCTAAATATAAATTGCCCAGAAATAGTTTCCCCTTTACTCTTTCTGGGGGGTGTTTTGGAGCTGTGCAGCTTGCCCAAGGCTGATTCTTCTCCTGGAAGGTGCAGTGAGGAATCGAACTTTGAATTTCTGGATTAGATGCACCTTGTTTTAACTGCCGTCATATTGCCTTAATAAGGAAATAGTTGTGCTGCAGTGGGGCATCAGGTGGCATTCCTGAAGCTTAGAACAATCATATCTAATTAGGAAAGAGATCAGACCAAAAGGGATATTCCGGAAACTTTGAACAGCCAGGGCTGGTTGTATGTTAACCAGGTGTGCTTGGAGATAAAATAGTGATATCATTGTTGCCTGTTTAGAGGTATTCTCCTGGGTTCTTAGGGCAGTCTTACGTCGTGTGATATATTACAGTACATGAAATTAACCCTGGAGTGTTATTTCTGAAGTCTGGGGCAAAGTAGCATGGCATCCGTTTCACCTGCTTGTGTTTCATACCTTGTTTAATATTATTTCACATTTCTTTATAGCGTTGCTGGTCGATGTTTTGTGAATGATAAAGTAAGGGTTTAGGCTTCCTGGTTTTGTTAACTATTCCAACAGTACGGCTTGATCAAGGAATTCTTTACAATGTACGGAATTCCTTGATCGAGCCATACTGTTGCATCTTCCATTTCTCGTTGCTGATTCTCCAACTCTGGTTGTTAAGCGAAGGAGCATTTAGCTGTTTCTCAAGGAAGCAGTCACACTTTAAAATAAATGCAAAGATATGGTGGCATAAACGTTTGACTAGAGTTCATTTAATCGGCTGAATGTGAATTGGGCTCTAGTTGACTAAAGCTTTTTCTGTGAGAAATATGTCCGTCTGCAAGGTGCTAAAAAAAATCTGTTGCGCAGAATTGCGGGTCAGATTACAGCGGGACTCAGTGGGGGTTTCTCCACCTTAAGGTAAGTGGTAGTTGGTGGCAAGGCAACAGTCTGCCTTCAAAAGATGCCATTCCAGAGGAATTCAGAAAACATTTATACCTCTCTTCGTGCTGAATGTACATCTTCATGCCAATGTTCTCATCTTGGTGGCCTTTAAAAAATTGTTTTGAATCCATTATGGTTCACCTGCTACACTTCAAGTTCTCAATCTAAACAAAAGCTCAGTTGGAGCAAATCTCAAGTTTCTGCTCCCTAAACCAAAGGAAGATGAGAAGTGAGGATTACTTGATTCTCTCAGTGTTAGTGACTACAAAATCTGCCACAATAGTAGCTGTATAACTGTTCATATCAGCCTTATGTTCTGGTAGATTTAACTGTTTTTTTTGTTTGCTTTTGAACTATAATGTTTTTAGACCTCATGGTGGTTTGAAAATGTTCAGCAACTTGTGAATCGGTATATAGGCAGCGGTTCCTATAGACAGATGAAATGTGGATTGTTTTCCACATAGAATTTTTGTACATTTCCTCACCCATGTAATACCATGCAAATATTTGTTATGTGGAAGTAGTTAATCTGCTGTAGGTTTCTCTACAGCTATAAAATATTTTTTAAAAATGAGTTTTCTTCTCTCTGTCTCTATAATATGTTATTTTATTAAACTGACATGCATATGTATATTATCCAGGCTTCAGCATAGATGCGGCCTTGAGATACTGAAGGAAGTGGGGGAATATTTTTGGGTGATACTACCAGCTGTTAGACCAGCTGAATATATGTTTGTTCTGTGCAGCAGTAAGAGGCTGGAATCAAAAGAGCTTCCAAACAGAAAACCCCCACACAGTATGCCCTTCGTTTTCAGCCTCTCTGATTAAAATTTCTCCTTGCCAATGTAAGAAACTAAAAAGCTTTCCAGCTTCTGTATTTTTGGATGAGATTCACTTGCACAAGCTTCCAGAAGAGCCAGTTAGGTTTAGATTACATTAAGTGATCGGGGGGTATAATGAAGTTGCTTCTATATGGAAAGATGGGCTTCCCTGCTAATCTGTGTACAATAAATAAAGCAAGCACCTGTGAAAACAAGGACTGGCATCGTTGCACATATGCACACTTGTTAAAATGTCACTCTGCCCTCATATTTGCAAGTGAATCTGCAGCTAAACACCCTCTTGTACCTTGATTAAAACTTATCTAGAGTGTATGGGGTGGCTGCATAAAATTATCTTGGGCATCTTGCTTTTAACTGAACCTGTAAGTTGAGGGTTGGGAACCTGGCAGCCGTGAGGTCCTTTTGGCAGGCCCTGGACCCCAGAGAGGGGAGAGTCAACTAAAGTTCCCAAGAGCTGTGATTTGCCTTGCATCAAAGCTGTTCTAGCTGATCAAGTTGTGTTACTTACACATTTTGACTTCTGCTTTCTCTAGGGGGCAGCTTTCTCACAGACCAGAAGGCGGCTTTGGATCTTTTTAATGGGCTTTGCTCGGTGAGAACAAGAGCATCCGTTTCGACATCTCCCAGGTTCCTGCTCTTAGTGAGTATTGGATATCCACCTGAGGATTATTCACTGTACCTCATGTTCAGAAGTATACCTTTGGAGTACTCCCCCCTGGATCCTGTTTTCCATCTAGAAGTCATAGATTATTAACTTCATCATCTTAGAACTGCAGTGCTGGTTAAGGTCATCAAGTCCAGCCCCTGTCAAGGAAGCACAGTGGGGAATCGAACTCCCAACTTCTGGCAGTGCAGCCGGGTGCCTAGACCCCTGAGCTATCTACCAGTCCTCCCGCTGGAAGAAGGCAAGCCAAAGGAATGCCTTGCATGGGTTGCCACAAATGATGCATGCCAAGGAAAGCTGGTTCTGCCACAGCTCTGCAGTCATGGAAAGGGGGGTGGGGAATGATCCGAGGAAACCTGAGGCACAGGCGTGCCAGAATTGGCTGTCCCAAGCAGAACCTAGCGGACCGAACCCTTGGGCAGAATAGAGACCAGAATTGCAGCCAGTGGGTAGAGAAAATTCAGAGCCCAAGGGGTTTCCATTTCTTTTGGTGCCTCACTTCTGTCCACCAGCGCACGCCCTTGGAAGAGTGGCTATTCCCCCTGCCCTTTTTGCCAAGGGCTCTGGTTTCCGTGAGGTTACATAGGCTGTGGGTAGCTGCACCAGGGTGTTCATTCTGTGGGTTTTGGGGTGTCCGGGGTGTATGTCTGTGTATGTGAGAGAGAGGGAGAGTGTGTAAGAAAGTTATTTTATTCTGGGCATATTTTTCAACCCTGAACAGCTTGGAGAAAGGCAGGATGTGGCACGAAGCCCGAAAACATGAGCGGAAGCTCCGTGGGATGATGGTGGATTACAAGAAACGAGCTGAACGTCGCAGAGAGTATTATGAAAAGATTGTGAGTGTCCTCCTGGCTGGCTCTGATCTCTGAGAAGGGCTTGCACTGACATTTCCTAACGCTCCTTCCTTTTTGCCTTATTCAGCTCCCTACTTGACCCCGTTGACTTGTGTTTCAATTCTGTGTTCTTGAGGAACATGCTGTTAGTAGGCTGCATTTGGCATCAAAGTGTTCAGTAGAACAGGGCCCTCTAGATGAGCACTTCCTTTTCCAAGGTCCGGAGGTGACAGACTGCAAACGCCATCAGCTGCACCAAGCAGATATTCAGAGGACATCAACTTCTTGAAAGCAGGTCAAGACAGTCCAAAGTAACTTAATGCTGTGTTGCTTAGCGACAGGCATGAACTGTAGTTTGAGCCAGTTTGGCACAGCACCCGCATAGGAATTCTGTGGTTGCTGTGTGCTACCTCACCTCCTCCAGGCTATCGTCCACTCACTGGCAGCAGTGCGCTTCCTCTCCTCTGCCTCCTCAGGCAGCCACTCACTCAGATGAGGAAATGGGGCGGGGAAGCCTCACTGCCTTTGAGTGGATGCCTGCCCGAGGAGGCAGAGGAGGGAAGCGTGCTGTGTGGGTGTCACGCCGAAACACAGTTCGCACTCATCTTTAGGTGTTGCTCGATGTTGTGCACACTATATAATGTGACTTACTGCTATGTAACAGTAAAAATAAGGGTTGTTTGAACAGAAGAAAACATGAAATAAAAAGAGCACCTAAAAAGTGGGAAGACTCCTACATATTTTAAAACACTGTAGAAAACAGAAGAAACAGGTGTCTAAAAATACCCATTTTGGTTTCAACCAGAGCATGTTACAGGGAAGGCTTTCACAATTTGGTCAGGGTTACAGAAAAATCTCCTGCCCAGTAACCGTTTGCCTGTCCTCAGAAGATGAGGCCACTCTGAAGATGTTAGCAAAAGGAGCAGAAAAGATAAAAGCAAGATCGAAATAACAGTTAAAAAAAAAAACAAAATGTGGTGGCGTTTTAAAGACTAATTCTTACCTTTTTATAAAGGCAGGTAGCTATGGGCGAAGGGGGTCTTTTTAATGGGAAAAGCAGATCCCTTCAGTTCAGGCATACATCCTTATGTGAAATTCTAATCTCCTCCCCAAGGTGGCAGATCTGCTGCTGTTTGCCTTGAAAGTTTATTTCTTTTGTCTCATTTTGAGATGTGGAACGAAAATATAGGCGGGAGGATGGTTCTCAAAAATGCACCGCATTGGCTTCAGCTGATCTGGTGACGGCTGTCTCTGAAGGTGTTGGGTCCCATCCCTGGCCTATCCACGTGGGGCTCGGAAAAACAACAACAACAGCGAACATTGATGTTTCTTTTCTAGAAAAAAGATCCGGCCCAGTTCCTGCAGGTCCATGGCCGTGCGTGCAAGGTCCACTTAGATTCCGCCGTGGCTCTCGCTGCTGAAAGCCCTGTGAATATGTGAGTAGCATTCAGCTCTCTGTAGGCAAAGTAGGGATTTATCTCCTGAAAAGGGAGGGAAACGGTGCCTGGATCTTGTGGGCGATGCCCCACCTCCTCTGTGCCAACTTCTAACATGTGCCCCCTGACAGTTTTTTTGCCTCTTGCAGGATGCCATGGCAGGGAGATACCAACAACATGATAGACCGGTTTGATGTTCGAGCTCACCTGGACTATATTCCCATGTATACCCCTCCACTGCTGAACCCAATGTAAGGTGTTTGTTCCTTTCCTTTTCAGTCCCGAAATGCGCAGCCCTTGGTTTCCGTTTTTGATTTGTTTGCTCAGTAAAATGAAGGCCGGAAATAAGGCAAGAGAGCATGGATAAACTGGCTTGACTCTTGACTCTCTTGTTGCTTTCTCCTATGGGGGAGGGAGAAATGACTGTGTCTTAAAGAAAAGGTAGGGTCTTTCTGGCTTCGTTAGGCTGCTGTCAAAGGTATTCCCATTACTTTGCACTAGAGAGAGCTGCATATATAGCCTGAGTGGCTGAATGTTACAGCTGTCCAAGATTTTGAAAAGTTCTCTATTTGGTACCATTTGCTGAACGTCCTTAAAGAGGGGTAGACTGGTATAATGCTATGCAGACACCCCTACGTCTACATCAGTGCTGTGAACTTGAGATGGGTATGGACCACCAAACTAGTGGTTCGTCCTGGTTCTTCCTCTGGTTGAATGGGGGTTTGGCAGTTCCCATCTGAGCAGCACCTGGAGGAGGCGGGACAGGGAAGCCAGGGCGCTGCCTCTGAGTGGACACCCACCGGAGGAGGCGGGGCTCGGAAGTAATGAACAAATCTGTTTGGCCAAAAAACGAACCAGCACAAACAGTGAGTTCGGTTAGTTTGTGCCCATCTCTACTGAGAACTCATGAGTGGACACCCACTGGAGGAGGCGGGGCTCAGAAGTGATTAATGTCTGTTTGGCCAAAAAATGAACCAGCACGAACAGTGAGTTCGGCCAGTTTGTGCCCATCTCTACTGAGAAATCATTGGATGCATACAAAGGTACATGGGCAAATGTCAAGTTTAGTTGTGCCTGTTAGAACCTCTTTCTAAAATCTCTTCTTTTGGTTTTGGAAAAATCGGCAGAGGTTATTTATGTTTCTTGGTTTTGATACTCAAAGAAGACACACCGTTTGGCCCATTTAGACGGTGGGATTTACTCCACTGATTTTAACCCATCAGTTATTTATTCAGTGGGTGTGCTCTGTTTTTAAACTTCCAAACTTGAAATGCACAGCTATCAACAAAACTCTTGAGTAAGGTGTCTCTCTGTGCATTTCTCTGGTACCGTCGTGCGGTTCTCGGCCGTTCACATTCCTTAGTTTTTCATTCCCGTGCTTTCTTTTCCTTTCCACAGCAATCCAGAACAGGAGTCCGACGAGAGGAAGTGCAACTACGAAAGGTACAGAGGTTTGGTGCAGAACGACTTTGCTGGCAGTAAGTTCCCCCGGACTTCTCTTGTGTTGCTGTTGATTACGTCAGTTTGGTCAGGGAAGAAGAAGAGTGGCCCTCGGGGGTCTTGGGTTCTCTCCCGGGCTGGCAACGGCAGGGATGTTCTCTGCCAAGGCTAAGACTTTACACCCTAACTTACTACTTCATCACTGGTTGGTCACCAGGTTGCACTGATGACATTTGCCTTTGAGCCTCAGGCCTGAAGGTGGGAGCATGGGGAGGCGAAAGGGAGTCCGGTGCTCGTCAAGAATCAGGAGATTGTTTCCTTTCCCCTCCTAGAAGTAGCAGAGTTTGCAGAAGCCCATATGTTCCTGGCAAGACACTCTTATGAATATGATAACGGAGTAAACCTAAGGTTCTTCGTGTATGCAGTTCAGGAAAGGGACGGCCAACCAGCTAAGGTGATCTCCCCAGGGACCAGTCCTGATGAAGGCTTTAAAGCAAGCCATGCCCCTGAGAGAGCTGTAGTTTGAGGTGTCTTGCACGTAGGCGCATGTCCTTGCTGAGTGCAGCTGCTGTCTATGCATGGTGGTTGGGGAGGGGACTGTTCCCACAGCATTCTGTTTGAAAGCCATCTTCTGCTACTGCTACCGCATAGCCTTTTTAGAAAACAGGCCCATTGCCTCCACCCCTGTGCTCCCTGAATCCTTGTCCTCGTGGGCTTCTGTTTCCCCCTCAAGTGCCTGGGGAAGCAACATATCAGATTCTAAAGATGTGATGGAGAAAAACACGACAGGTCCGGTTCTGGCAGAGAAACGATCATTTCCCCCTGGAAGCGCCTCTGATTGTCTGTTGCAGCTCCGTGTGCCTAGTCTTTTTGGTCAGGGTGGATGGAAAACAAGTGATTTTGAAAGAATCAAATGGATTTAGATCAAGATTTAAGTGATTTTTTTAAAAAAAAGTTAAATTGTCAATAAAATTCCTATTTTTAAAAATTTACATCCTGGGGATCCATTGAAAAACAGGGTGCATTCGATTTCAGTCGTGCTTTAAACCAAACCCCCAACCTGTTTTCAATGGATCATCCCCTTGCCGGGCGTAGCGGCATCTAGACGACTGGGAACAGGGGAGGGCTGCGTGCGCTCTACAGCCTGCCGTGCTTGTCTTGCAGCATCCGAATTTCAGTCGTGCTTTAAACCAAACCCCCACCCTGTTTTCAATGGATCGTCCCCTTTGCCGGGCATAGCGGCGTCTAGACGACTGAGAACAGGGGAGGGCTGCGTGCGCTCTATAGCCTGCCGTGCTTGTCTCGCAGCATCCGACGAGCCTCGTGGAGTCCTGACCACCTTTTACCCCCCNATCTCTGTCTCCTAGTCTCAGAGGAGCAATGCCTCTACCAGATCTACATCGACGAGCTGTACGGAGGACTCCAGAAACCCAACGAGGATGAAAAAAAGAAGTGAGTCCTTTGAACGGGTACCTGGAGGTGTTGGAAGTCAGAGTTGGCAGGGCTGAGCGCTCTCAGTGGCGGAAATGGAGGGCGTGAGTTGGGCTGATCTCTCTGCCTTTAGGTTAGCCGAGAAGAAGGCGTCCATCGGGTACACGTACGAAGACAGCACTGTGGCGGAACTGGAGAACCCGTCTGAGAAGCGAGCCGAGGAGGAAGACTCCGAGGAAGACAGCAACACCGATGAGGATGAAGTCATTCCTGATATTGGTATATTTCCCAATTCACTTTCTTTGCCCGTGCTTGAGGCGTGACAGTGCTTCTTAGTCTGGTCTGTTCACTTTTATTCCAACAGCTGCTGAAGGCTGAGTGATGGTTTTTAACTGCCCCATAGGCAATGGCTATGCCTTGAAGGCAAGTAAACAGAAGGAGGCTTGCTTTAAGGGGTTTGCGCCCTGCTGCTATCTAATTTCAGCACCAGGCAAAGGGTGCAGCCCATTGTGGATTTGAACACCAATCATGGTTTTGAATGGGCAGGGCCAGCTCCTTAATGGGTCAGTATTTTCATCCTTTGTGCATGCACACCAGGTGTAGGCTCTTGACTTCAGCCGGGGTTGGTTTTCAGTACATACGGAAGTAGTGAGTCTTGTGGCATAGTGCTTAAACTGCAGTACAGCAGTCAAGGTTCTGCTCATGAGATGAGTTTGATCCCAATGGTTTTCAGGTAGCTGGCTCAAGGTTGACTCAGCCTCCCATCCTTCCAAGGCTAGTAAGTTGAGTACTCGGCTGGCTGGGGGAGAAGGCAATACGCAGTGTGTATAACTGAACTGAAAACTCGGAGGATGCTTTCGGCACTGTAGAGCAGTTTATAAGCAGCACACTTTACTTTATTAATGGTAAAGGATTGCTCTGTGAATCTCTCCTTGGTAGTCATTCTTTGGTTCCTGTAATTTCTTTGCTGCTTCTCTGTTTATTAATTTTCAGAGATTGACCCATGCTTGTTGCAGGTGGTTGGAGTTATATTTGGCAATATCTGGAAGGCAGTGGGTTGAAGGAAGCAGGTTATGCAAGGTTCCTTAAAAGGAGTGGACGGACCAACCCGTTGATGCTGTCCCATCTTGCTTTCAGATGTCGAAGTCGATGTAGATGAGCTGAACCAGGAGCAAGTGGCCGACCTGAACAAGCAGGCTACCACTTATGGGATGGCGGAGGGAGACTTTGTCCGGTAAGATGCTGCTGCTGTTCAGACTCTTGGAAAGCAGAGTGGATCCAGCTTTCTCCTCTGCATGGTTCCAAGGCTCTGTGGCGATCGGCTCTAATGGTGGAGCGGATCACCCTGGAATTAGGCTGATCTCTCTCCGGCGGCCTGTGTCCCAGAACGATGCAGGGCTGCAGAAATGAAGAGCCAAAACAGTCAGAATTTTGGAAATGGAATGGCAGGAAATTGAGAGAGGCAAAAGGAAGCACCGTGGAACTCGCCACCACAGGATGTAGCCACAGTTTTCAACTTGGGTGGCTTTAAAGGGGGATCAGTCATGGACATGCAGATTGAAGCCAGTAACGGTGCCTGGTCAGGGCAACTACGTATTGCATCCAGTATCAAAGACCTCGATGTTAGGAAAGTGTGAAGGCAAGAGGAGAAGGGGACAACAGAGGATGAGATAGCTGGTCAGTGTCATCGAAGGGACCAACATGAATTTGACCCAACTCCGGGAGGCAGTGGAAGACAGGAGGGCCTGGCGTGCTCTGGCCCATGGGGTCATGAACAGTCGGACACGACTTAATGACTAAACAACAACAACAAATCAGAGACGGGATGCTCCTTCCTTCCATTTTTGCCCAAAACGCCAGGTGGGAACCTTGGGGGGGGAAAAGCATTAAAAGCACAATAAAAATAGATGTTATGAGGGGCGCTCACCAAGTATACTCCGAGACGGATACCAAGACCCTCTCTGAGCGAAGAACTGGTTTGTTTGCGTCCTTTCTCTCTCTCAACTTCCACTTTTCTTTCTTCTGGAAGGATGTTGCGGAAAGACAAAGAAGAGGCAGAAGCCATTAAGCATGCCAAAGCCTTGGAGGAAGAGAAAGCCATGTATTCGGTAGGGAGAGAGGGGTCCCTACCCAGCACTCTTGACTTTGCTGGCTTCTCTACCGTGGCCATTTCTGTAGTTCCTTTAGTTGGGCTAAGAGGCTTTTGTTGACTCATGGTGGGGGAGAGAGGAGACCGAGCCCTTGGGGTGACGGAGTGGGGGGGAGAACCTGGGATGTGTATGGATTAATCCCCACCTCCAATGCCAGGGAGGCTGAGGTTGGGAACCTTTGGAGGGGAAGGTTTTCCTCTAGCAGCAGTAACTCCCCATGACATACCAGCTCTCCTTTCGTCCCCAGGGCCGCCGATCTCGACGTCAGAGGAGGGAATTCCGAGAGAAGCGTTTGAAAGGAAGGAAGATCAGTCCTCCGAGGTGAGTCCTCCGACCCACACGGATCCTGCTGCGCCTGTCTTTCCCGAAGAGGAGCCAAGGCGCCCCTGAGAACAAGCCTTCTCCCTTGGTGCGGGAAGACCTCCTGAAGCATGTTGCTTGGCCCCTGGGCAGCGTCTGCCGGGATCATTTCCCCTCTCCGAGCACAGGGGCGTTTTCTAGTTTCTAGTGTTGCTTTCACAAAGAGCCGACGGGGTCTTTTCACTTTGAGCAAATGCAGAAGGATTCCCCCTCTTGAATTTTCCTGGCCAGCGCTTCTCAGCTGGTGACCTCTTTCCCTCTCCTTTCCCTCCCACAGTCTCTTGGCGCAGAGGCTGCTTCGTGTCCCAGAGATGTTTCCTTACAAGCGTGCTTGCCCAAATGCACTCCCGTGTCCAAGAGTGAGGTTCCACGAGCCGTGATACAGCTTCACTGGGCTGGAGAGCGCACCCCCGGGGTCATTGTGTGCTATAGCTGACATGCTTTGGGCGAGCCACTGCTCAGCAGATCTTTGGCTCCCGCCTCCCTGGAGAAGAGGGAGGACAAGAAGCAGAGAAGGCCAATAAGACTTCAGAGAAGTGTTTTGGGGCAGGTGGTGTCAACAAGTTTGGCAGTCATCCCTTTACATCATGGGCTTCCCGGCTGAAACGCTCCAGAGATTTTTCTGCTTGTCACTAAAGCGAGGAACCTGACTTCATTCACTTTTTCCCTTCCAGGCAGGGTGGGGTGGGGAGAAAGTGCTAAGGAAGTATCTCCAGAATTCTCTGAAAAGGTTCTCTCACAGCGGAATAGGGAATCCCTGTCATTTCTGCTCCGTAATCAGAGATAATTTGGGGGGGGGCATTCCCTTTTTTCTTTCGGAGGCAGTGGGGCAGATATTTATTTAGTGATTTAAAGACATTTTTTACCCTGCCTTTCTCCAAGGCAGCTTGCGACAGTGAAAGACAATATTTATTAGAAAACCATTACAGCGGTGGTTAACATCATTAAAGCTAAGAACAGTGAGTAAGGAGGCACCTCACCTTGTTAAAAAGCAATATTAAAGCGAAGAACAGTAAGTATACAGTTTTTAAAAAGGGAAAACAGTCCCCTTGGAGAAATGGATAGCACATAGCCCTCTTTTAAAGAAGGAAGGGAACTCATCTCAGGAGGAGACTGAGCTGGTGGGCCGAGTACCTTGGAGTGGGTGTCTTCTGAAGCCCTGCCTGGTGGGGTGGCCACTTCGACAACCTTTTGCGAGTCGCCTCTGAGGCCGCTGCACTTCTAAAAGGGATGCCGCGTTGAGTCTCAATCCCTTGTGTTTTTGCAGCTATGCCCGGAGAGACAGCCCCACCTACGATCCCTACAAACGGTGAGTAGAAGCAGCTGCTACTGTACTCAAGTAACCTTGGGAGTTTTGTCCAGGTTTTTGTGGTCCTCTAATAAAACACCTCTGCTTGTAGAAGGGAGTCAGTGGGTGTAGGGACATACCCGCCAAGCCAGCCCTGTTTCAAAAGGAGCTGGGATGATCCAGTGAGTGGGGAATAGAATCAGGATGCTTTGGCGGTACTCTGAGACACACTGCCAGTTTCATCCATGGTCAGTTGAGAAACTGCTATGAATCCCAGCTGTTTCTGGCACTGCACCCAGCATAGCCCCGGCATACAGGACGAGGGCGCTGAGAAGAGGCACGAACAGGACACTTGGAAGCAAAGTCTTCCTTGGGATTTCATTTGGGAGCTCCCGATGGCTCTCGCTTTGCCAATAGAACGTGTCTGGACGTGGGAAGCGATAAGCGACAGGGTGCAGACAGAAACAAGTCCGCTCTGCTCTTCTGCCGTCTCAAAGCGATGGGCTCTCCTCGCCCCCTAGGTCGCCGTCCGAATCGACCTCCGAGTCCCGGTCCCGCTCTCGCTCGCCTTCCCCAGGTCACGAGGAGAAGATCACCTTCATCACCAGCTTCGGGGGCAGCGACGAAGAAGCCGCCGCGGCTGCAGCCGCCGCCTCGCAAGCCGGAGGAGCCCCCCGGAAGCCCGCCCCCCTTGGCAAGGCACGCTCTGGCCAAGTGCAACAGGGCAGCGCCGCGGCAGGTCATAGCGCCTCCTCCCGGTCGGTAACTTTCGCACCCGCCTTGTTTTCCCAAAAACCTTAAAAGCAGAGACCATTCCGGGGTCAAAGGTTAATTTCTTACTTTTCCATCCTCCTCCTCGTGCCCTTGGAACCGACCTGGGAACTGTGTGCCCATTGGTCGCTCGTGATAGCCAATCTGTGCCCAGGGTCTCCTTTCGGCAGAGTCTGATTGGGGAGGGGGGAATACGGCTGTGGAATGCTGGGAAACCGAGGGCCCCATTAGCCAGCAGGGATGTCAAGGTGGGTGGGGATACCCCAGAATATGCCCCAAAGCTGGGGGTGCTGTTTCTTGCTTTTCATCTTGGGCCATTCCAGCAAAAGCAGCTACTGTGGTTCTCTTCCTTTGAGAGACTATGTGTGGCCAATGACAATCAGTGTATATCTAGCTATCGCTTAGGATAGGATGCTGGTTTATTGCAAGTTGAAACCTAAAGCTTCTGTCCACCCACCCATTAAAATTCCAGAAGAGATGATGATTACAGTTTTGTGGAGGGAGGGCTTTTAAGCTCTTATAAGAGCGCTTTTAGCCAGGTGGATGGAAATTAATGATTTTTTTTAAAAAATAAAATTGATAGAGGTCACCATTTAAATCTTCAAAGCATGAATTTTAAAACCTTAAATGGTAAAAGAAAATTCAGTTTTTAAAATTTAAGTTGTGAGTTAAATTGTGATTTGAATCAGTTTTGTATGCTAATTTATATGCTAAAAGCAGGGTGTATTTGATTTAAATCAGTTTGATTGAAATCAAGCACGCTCTGTTTTTAGCATATAAATCTAGAATATAAAATCACAATGGATAATACATACAGAGATGAATAGGGGGAGTTGGATAAAACAACCGTGGCAGTGAACAGTTTTTTTTGGAGGGGGGCTTCTTCAAAGACTTGGGACAAGTCACAGAGTAATGAATGCATCTCCTTTCTGTGGATTCTTGTGCCCAAATGTGTTCTGTCTTTGGATTCAGTCCACCGTGCTGCTTTTGAGCAATGTCCCTTTGCTAATCAATGGGAATCCAAAAGCTGGTTGCTGTTTTTCTGAAACAACATTTGGAATCCTTGGGAACGGAATTGATGCGCTTGTCTGGGAGCTGAGACGAGATTCTGTAGCTTGCAGTGACCTCTTGCAATAAACCAGCCTGCCTTCCTTGCCTCCCAGGTAGAGGGCGTCCCGCTTTACACCTGGTGCCCACAGAGTCTCCCACGCCTTCCCACCTCTCTCTCTAGGCTTTGCCAAAGAACAAACCAGGGGTGTGGGGGGCTGTGGATGGGTCCTTTTTGAGCTTCTTGTGGGCTCTAAAATTATGGTCCTTGAATTTTAAAACTCTGTACCTATGGAATTACCTTTTTGGCTGGTTTTCGGCCACCCGGGGCATCCCCTTGTGTTTCCGGCCCCTCCGTCTTTTCCTTGCGCCTGCGGTTTGCTGGCTGGCCCTCCTGTCAATAGCCAGCATCGTGCCTCTCCTCTTTGCAGGCGACGCTCCACCTCCTCTTCCTCCTCCACCTCGTCCACCACCTCGTCTTCAAGTTCGCGGTCTAGCTCGCGGTCCCACCGGGCCAGCGGCTACCACCGGGCCAGCCGTTACGGCCGTTCGCGCAGCCACCGGTATTCCCGCTCCCGTAGCAGAACCAGGCGATACTCCGCGGGAGGCTCGCGGGACGGACGGCGTCATTCCAGATCGCGCTCGACGGAGCGGGGCTGGCGATACGGGTCCCGCCGCAGGTCCAGGCAAGTGGGGCGGCTTGGCGGGGCAGCTCCCCAGCAAGAAAGTGGGCTGCGGATTTCTTGACGAATCTGGAGCTCCTAACAAAAATGGCATTTCCCCACCCCATGACTTTTCTCAGGAGTCATTCCCGATCCGGAGAGCACTATCGGTGGAGTAGCGGCAGGGGAGGAAGGCACTGGAGTAGCAGTAGCAGAAGCGACAGTGACTCGAGAAGTCGCAGCAGGTCAGCGTCTCCGGCCAGAGAAAAGCCACTGAGGCCTGCAGCTTCCCCTGCTGTCGGGGAGAAACTGAAAAAGTGAGTGTGTGATCTCTTTCTCCCTGCTTTGAGGAAGAACGAACACCTTTTCTTGTCACCCAACTGGGGAGGAGCATGGGAATCTCTGCTTTTGCTGTGCAGTGGGACAGCAGTATCCGTGGGGAAGGGTCAGTTCCAAGCCTCCCCCATGGATACCGAAAATCGTGGAAGTATTGAACAGTATACATTGTGTGCTGTCTGATTTCCTCTAATGACCAGGCGCCTCTCTGGAGGGACCGTCCTGGCTTACTTGCCCTGCCTCCCCTGAGCACTGCCTCTGAGCGGGTGCCTGCCTGAGGAGGCGGGACTGGGAAATGTCGAACACCTGCAGTTACAGGTGTCCTCCTGTACTATAACAAGCAAAACCTCTTTATTTTTTCTTTCTTTTTCTCCCTAGGGCTGAAACTGCTGGTGGTAAAGAGACAGGAGCTGCCAAAGTCAGTAAGAATTTAAACCTCACATCTTAATTCCCATCATTGCTGAAAAAAAAAGACAACAATAGTGATGCACAAAAAAAGGAGTGTTGTATTTAGAGTTTTGATGGTTACCCTTGTTTGCTTCCCACCTATAGTTGAAGATGGGAGGGGTTTTTTTGCATGTGCGCTGCCTCATCATGGCACTCTTCGCCTCGAAAGCTGCCCTTTTAAACCTGGTCTTTGCCAGGCTGGCATTTATGGGGTGGAAGCCCCAGGGAATAAATATTAATGTTAGGATTTACTTTTAGGGTAAACACAACAAAGGTTGTGTGCCTAAGTGTGAGTTCTCCTAAGTGGGCTAAAATCCAGGATGGGAGCTGATGCTCTGGGGCTTTTTTGTGTGTGGGCAGACAAGGAGAACAAGATTATCTGCTGTCGGATCTTACTTTCTTTGTTCTCAGCATTTATAAATTGGCTTCCAGCGTGAAGGTTCCTGCAAAGGCTTCCAGAGATCTCTCCTGCTGAGTTAAAAAAGAAGAAGAAGGATCTTCTCCTTGTTGGCTTGTGCTTGATGTTCCCAGCCCTGGACTATGTCTGTTCCCAGATCATCCCATGGGAAATTGAGTATCAGAGCTTGTTGTTGGCTAAGGCCCGTAGCTCTGTGTCAGAGCCCATGCTTCTCATCTATAAGATCCCAGGCGATAGGGCCAAACATCGCCAGTTAGACAGATTTTGGCAGAATGTCAGTGCCAGAATCCCTGGAGATCTTCTGCCAGAATAGAACAACTCGGGATTAGATCTGTGTTGCTGGTTGGCTTCCCAGTTCTTTGTGGTTTCCCCCCGATCATTCTGAAAGGCCCAAATGCCTCCTTGAAGGCTTCGTGACTGGCTGTTTAGAGCTTTTAAGTTAAAATGCGCTGATACAGTTTCAGTCCTGTCATTTTTGTCCCTGACCATATACATCACAAGAAAGTAGTACCTAAGAATTTATCTGAAGTGGAAGTTGGATCTCAGGATAAAAGAGGTTTTGCACCCTTGGTCTAGACTGTAGCATAGTGTGGATCAGTAGAAGTCCTCTTAATGCACTACTGCCTTCGGTTTCCTTGGGACATGACCCTGTGGACCCATTTTTAGAAAGACATCTCTTGGCCAGTAGAGGGCGCAAGGGGGCTTTTTCGGTATCACTCAGTGTGTGTCAGAAAACAAATGGGGTATTGTGAGAGAGTCACAGAAGTGGATGTAGCCCTCCCAGGACCAGAGGGGGTGAGGGTGACAGTGTCCAAAGGCTGTCCCTCTCTAGATTAAGCCCTTTTATAGAAAGGCAGTGAGAGGTGGAAAAACAAGCTAGAGCAACAGGAGCTGGAGAGGGCTGGTACAGCAGAACTAACTGGGAAGTGCTCTTCTTTCAATGGCCCAACTTGCCCACCAAGGCGGTTCAGTCCTAAACTGGATCTAAAACCTATGAGGATTGGTGGGATGCACTGTAGGTTGTTGAGCCCCCCCCCAAAAAATAAAGCCCCCCCCCAATAATCAATCTGGAAGAATAACCCCTGACTAAAGTCCAGTGTCCTAAAGTAGACTGAAAGAGCTAGCAATATAGATGGGCACAAACCGGTGGTTATAATCAGTCTGGAAGAATAACCCCTGACTAAAATCCAGTGTCCAAAAGTAGACTGAAAGAGCTAGCAATATAAATGGGCACAAACCGGTGGTTCGGTAGTTCGTGCCGGTTTGTTTTTCAGCCAAACAGGTGTTTGGCTATTCCCAGCCCTGCCTCCTCTGTCAGGCGCCTGTCCGGAGGCACCTCCCTGGCTTACTTGCCCTGCCTCCTCTGTCAGGCACCACTCCAGAGGCAGTGCCCTGGCTTACTTGCCCTGCCTCCTCTGTCAGGCGCCTCTCCGGAGGCAGCGCCCTGGCTTACTTGTCCTGCCTCCTCTGTCAGGCGCCTCTCCGGAGACACCGCCCTGGCTTATTTGCCCTGCCTCCTCTGTCAGGCACCTCTCCAGAGGCACCACCCTGGCTTACTTGCCCTGCCTCCTCTGAGTACTGCCTCTGAGCAGGTGCCTGCCTGAGGAGGTGGGACTGGGAAATGTCGCGCACCTGTTCAGCCGAAAAACGAACCTCCGGTGCTTGTTCATCTCTGATCAGCAAACCATAATCAGGGATTTAGTACCCAGAAAGTACACAGGCTGTAGAGTTTTTTTTTCCCTTAGCCTTTTTTTTCCTTAAATAAAAAAAATGAGTATGAATTAATTTCAGCATAGAAATGTGGAAATCTGTGAGTGGTTTGCCAGGTGAGCCATGGCAAGAAGAGAAAGACAGATAGGGAGACTCTGTGGAATTCCCTGATGGATGCTGGCTAGAATCTCTCTGCACTGTTCTGCTCACGGAACACGGTTGCAGGAGGGATGGTGCTTTTTTCAGAACATGGGCCAGGATGTTTGCAGAGAAATGCCATAGCAAAGCATCCAAGGCAATCAGGGGTTTGCGTGAGCTCAAGCTGAAGATGGCAAAACACAGTGCCTGGTTCTATTCTGCACAGGGTGCAAGAGGCTTGAAGCCTCTACATTTCTATTAATCTTGATCAAACCCCTTTCGGGCATCGTTAATACTCTTGTGTTTCTAAAATCTGAGCTGTTTCACCTGTTGCGGAGGAGTCTGTAGTAGTACACAGTTTACTTTTGGCGGTTGAAATATTATTTGTTTTAATCGCTAAGGCACAACAAGTTCATTTGAGGTTAAAATAAATCCTACGGAACAGTAAACATTGCCGTCGGTGCAAACCGGAACCGCAGATTCATGCTCCACAGAGATCATTTGTTCGAGCAGCGACTGAGAGCGTGGGGCTGTTTTCAAAATGTTGTCTCCCTTTGGCCAGGCTTAATGGAGAACTACCCGCTCTCCAGCTGACCTTGTCAGGTGGCCCGTAAAAACAAACAACTTTTGGGTAGGTCTGATGAAATCTCTGCAGCTCCTCGCTAGCTCGGAGAGAGAGAGAGAAAAAATAAAGTCTCTCTGTCTTAAGATGGCAAAGAAGAAAAATAATAGTGTAATAGACCCACTATTTTTCAGTAAACATTTGCAAATATAATATTGCCTGTTTGAAGGTTGGGTGTCCTCTGGATCTATTGGATTACAGCTTGCATCATCCCCCAGCCGCCATGGCCTGTGAGCGTGCTGGCTGGGGAGGGGATGATGACAGTTGTAGTCCAACAGGTCAGGAAGGCTTTTCAAGACTCCCAATAAGCACTTGTGGTTCAGCTATTTAGTGAATTCTCCTTGTTCAGCTTCTCTTCATTTAAACCATTTCCTTATTTGCCTGGGTGGTTATTATGGGATGCGCTGGGGGGGGCGTGTGCTTTGTGTCCCAGTGTGTTTTTTGGAAAGTTCCGGCTGGTTCTCTGGAAGGGCTTCCCCAGTTGCCTTTATACGTCCCTGGGCAGCCCTTGGCGTGGGAAGAAGAAGGGCTTGAGAATAAATGGAGCAGAGGTTTTTCTGGGGCGACACGTCCCAGAATCAGTGGCTTGTGGTGGTTGGTTTGGGACATTGTAATCCAAAACAAGTAACTTCCCCCACACACACACACACGTTTTGGTAAAGTGGATTCCGAGCAAGTGGTTTGTCTTGTTGTGAGTCATGGAACAGGAATAGATACGTCGTTCGGAAGACAGAAATGCCCAAGTGGAACCAGAGAGTTATAGGTTCTTCAAAATAAGCTATGAGAAAGATGTTTGTAAGGTTATTGCATCCAGGAGAAGGCTGGTCATGACCACATAGGTTGAAAATGGCTGACATTCCACGGTGAAGCCCAAGAAAACATGCTGGAGATTTTCCGACGTCAACTTAAGCCTGCTCAGATGCATTTTAGTTGCATGTTCTTGCAAACACAAGCAGTTGCTCCTTTAACACGGCAATAGCTTTTGCTTTGGAATTCCAAAACAAGTCATTCTCAAGAAAAGATCTTAAACGATACGCATTCCAGACGTCTCACAAAGTGGGCTGGAAGTGTCTGCTTGGGTCTGGACTTTGTCCTTCACGTTGGCAACCACGAGTGTCAGAACCTCCACTTGTGAAAATAAAAAGAGCTGGGGTTTTCAAAGATCGTGTAGGGAGCCTTCCTAGATTTTGGGGAACTTGTGTCACCCTTCATGAGGCTGAATTTGGCCCCAGGAAGGAGCAGTGAAGTTCGACCAGGCAGTTTAGAAGCAACAGAAAGCCCGGCTTTACGAAAGCATTGGTAGCCCCACATTTGTAGAGCTGTTCTGGTCCCAAACAGAATGATGTCTTCTAATCTTTGCATTTTGCACAGAATAGCAGAAAAAGGGGGGGGAGGATACATTCTCAATTAATACTAATTGTCTGGAAGTAGATCTTGCACTTTGGAAACTGGGTTTTATTTATTTATTTTAAAAATATTTTAGCCTGCCTTTCTCCTTCAAAAAGGACCCAAGACGGCTTTAGGTTATTAAATTACAATATTGAAAATTTTAAAAAAAGGAATAAGTATGCAAGTATTTAAAAGATTCCAGCAAAGACCCCACTAAAAAACAAAAAACAGTAAATAAAAGCAACTCCAAAAACATACTCAAAGCATTAAAGGCACAATCATTCATTCAAAAACTCCACTCAGGCAGCCCATCAATAAGGGAAGGCTTGCCTGAAGAGGAAGGTCTTTGCCTGCTTGTGGAAGGACAGCAAAGAGGGGGCCAGGCTGGCCTCCAGTGGGAGGGAGTTCCAGTATCAGTCTGTGTTTACCTGTCTCTGTCCTTGCAGATGCTCTACCTGGATCAGGTAGCTTTGCTACAAGCTCTAGCTCTCAGTCTCTGACAAAGGAGCCCATAAACCTTAGTGGGCTACTTGTTAATTGCTCATGCAGTGGAGTTGGCGTTCTCCTTCCTGCCGGCTTTCCGTGGCCCCTTTTGAACCAAGGTTTCTGCCTTGGAGTCCCCTGGAAGAGCAAATCTCATATCTTAGTTGTGTGTTTGTGTGTGTTGGCATCTGCAATGGGGTTGTTTGGTTGACAATTTGCCTTGGTGTCCTCCCTTCAAAACTGGGGTCTTCCTTCAGTATTGACTTGTTGGAAAATCCAATACTTTTGTGGCACCTTAAAATCTAGCCAGGTTTGTGGGCTGCCGTCTGCAAACGTTTTATCCCAAATAAGCCTGGTTCCTCTCTATAAGGTGCTACAGGATTTTCTATGGTTTTAGTTACCTGTTTAGAAATCTGCTTATTTTTTTTTAGTAGGGTTCGTCTTTCTTCGGAGCCTTCTCTTCCCGCGAATGCCTTATCGAACCTCAATTTGATAGCGAGCTCAGGCTGACAAGCCAATGTTTAACACTTTTTCTGTTTGCCTTCTCATTGTAGCCGAAACTGACTCCGCAGGAGAAACTGAAGTTGCGCATGCAAAAGGCGCTTAACAGGCAGTGTAAGCATCCTTGGGGCCGTTGGACGGGCAGGGAGAGATATGTGATGCAGGGAAGCTATTTTCTTCTCTTCCTGTTTTGGTTCTGTACACTCCCCACTCATCTCCCTCTTTCTGTCTCTTCAGTTAAAGCAGATAAAAAAGCCGCCCAGGAGAAGATGATGCAACAGGAACATGAAAGACAGGTAACCAGCACATCCATCGTTCTGTGGTGGGGAAGAACAAAATGACAGAGAAGCTTCTTCTTTTGCTCCTTTACAATCCCTCCAAGTGTAGTAAAGATGGGGTTTCAGATGTCTGAGTTATATACGCATAAAGTGGGCCCCCACCAGGAAAGTGCCTGTTAGCACTTTTGAATCTTCACCAACATTGGAGGGATTGTAGAGGAGAGTCAGAAGCTTCTCTTTGGTGTTGATGTTTCTAGGTGCCTGGGGGGAAATTTCCACTCTTTGTGGATGTATACTTTGGACATTGGGAGGGGGCTCTTTTATAGCCAAATGAATTGACGAATCCAATTGCTAAAAATCCATTGATTCAGATTCGTCTGGGCATTGATTTGTATGAATACAAATAGGTGAGTTAACGGTTTTTGAACAAATTTGGTGATTTGTTTTTTTTAATGCAAGCCTTCTTTTTATTCTTCTTATATGGGACATGATTTATTCTGGCTTTGCCGCCATGTAGGTTTTGCTGCTCTTGTTTTGGGACTTGTGCCTTCTCTTGACTTTTGCACCCCCTTCTTCTCTCTTCTTCCAGGAGCGAGAGGACGAGTTGCGTGCCATGGCTCGGAAGATCCGGATGAAGTAAGGCCTTCCTGCGGTTTTCCAGTTCCCTCGCCGTGGAGTGGTGGGGGAATGGGTGGTGGGGGTGGGAGATGGATTCGTTGGACGTCTGCTTCTGTTAATCTCCAGCGTTCCTCCTGGCAGGGAGCGGGAACGTCGGGAGAAGGAGCGGGAAGAGTGGGAGCGACAGTACAGCCGCCAGAGCCGTTCTCCCTCCCCGCGCTACAGTAAGTGCCTGGCGCCGAGGAAGAAGATTCGGTGGCCGGCGGGGTCGGGCATGGGAGAAAAGACTCTAGAAATATAAACTTCTGGGATTTTTTCATCATTAGAAATAGATATCTGGGGGATTTTTCTTTAATATTTTTAATACAGTAGGAACTGCTTTCTCTGCGGGATCACTATAAGCTGATTCACTTATTCCGTGGTCTGAAAATGTTAAAACTTGGGGATCCCCACTCAGATCTTCAAAGGAGTGGGCCTGCCCTGACTAAAATAGTCATGGCTGGTGGAGCCGGAAGGGGGAGGAGAAGCAGTGTGTGTTTTGCCACCTTTATGAACTGGGATGAACCAGGATGAACTGGTTCATGCCCATCTCCAATCACTGCAATTCTGGTGACGTGCTTAGAGGATGTTCACTCTTTCTCCTCCCTTTGTCTTTCAGGTCGAGAATACAGCTCTTCAAGGAGGTAATCCTTGCTTCTTTTTATAGCAGTTGAAGGGGTGACTAAAATGAATAGACCTGTTGCTGAAAGAGCTGATGTAAATAAGGGCTACCCTTCTGGCTTTCTCTCTTCTGAAGCATTAAATCCATCAGTGAGAACTGGGGGGATCATATGTGTTTGCTCTTTAACGCCAGGTGGAGAAGGCTGCCTTAGATATAGGGTGAGTGAACTGTCCGGTGTCCCAAGGCCGTGCACAGATTTACAGGAAGGCCATCTGTGATCTCTGCTCATCGTTTCCATTCCGTTGAATGCGTAGGTGCTAGGCCTGAGTCTGCCTTTCTTCCAAGACACTAGAAGCATCCTGTACGGATGGGCCGAGAAGCTCTCGCTTCGCCAGATAATGTAGGACATTCAAAACTCCATCGAGGATGACTAAAGATCAAATATTATTGGACTTGTAGTCCCCACACATTAGGAGAGCCAAAGATACCCCGACTCCGATGCATCGACTTCCCCCATTTTTACCTTTTCAACAGTCCTATCAGATACATCGGGCACAGGGGAAAGATGTTCCCTTGGGCCATGTGGCGAGGTTTCTAGTTCAGCCTGAAATCAGTATGTTTATTTTGTCTGCTCTATTGCACTGCGGTGATAAAATGGTGATTGCTCAGTGAGTTAGGTATCTGGATGTGGAGCCAGAGGTTGGGAATTCGATTCCCCCACTGGTGCCTCCTGGGAGTAGAGCCAGCCTGGGTAGCCTTGGGCAAGCTGCGCAGTCCCAGGATTTCTCCTCCAGAAAAAGGGAAGCGTAAACCCCTTCTTCAGTACTTTCTATCTGGAAAAGGTTGCCATTAGTCACAATTTGTATTGCACTGACTCTCCTTGATGCTTAGTAGAAAATGTCGTTTCAAATGTGTACGCAAACAGCATTCCCCTGGTATCTCGTCCTTTTTCTCTGTAATTCGATTTATTGTTATGTCTCGTACAGGCACTCCAGATCCCGGTCTCGGAGCCCCCACTATCGCCACTAGTCGGTCTTCTTGGTGGCCGTGCTGCGCCGGCAAACTCCCCTCTCCCTGGTTCACTGGGACCCTTGTAACCCTGTTGTGTAATAATGCTGTACATTGCTGCTTTTGTTTCTAAGTTGTCAAAAAGAATTAAAAAAAGAGCCAAAAGTTACTTTTGTCTAACCATAGTGTTCCTTTTTAAAAAATACACCGGTCAAAAAGAATTAAAAAAAGAGCCAAAAGTTACTTTTGTCTAACCATAGTGTTCTGTTCCTTTTTTAAAAATACACCAGTTGCCCTTGTTTTTTCCTTTCATTTGGCACTTGGAAAATTCACTTGCCAAATAATATCCCCCCCCCGCCATCTTCTGTTTATATTTGCCAATAGAAAACATGCAGATTTTCTGAGGTTGCCTTGTTTTAAGATGGTGGATCAGCAAATCAGCGGATACTGATCTCAGATAAGGTAGTATTCATGCAGATTTTCGAGGTTGCCTTGTTTTTAACACTGCATATGTCGGAGAACAAGGAAGGTGAGCCAAAAATGCTGCTTTTTAGACACATTTCTTTGAGCATCAGCGCTGCCAGATTGAGGATCCACCCCACTATTAGATGGATGTTCAGTCTGATCCAAGAGGCCACTTTTGATGTCCTTAAGCCTAGAAATCTGAATAACTTGGGGCTGCTGCCACACAATGCTGTTGAAAAGCCTGGGGAAGGAAGGAAAGAAAGAAATGCCCCCACTTCTTCCCAATTTTCTTTGCCCAAATATTTTCTACCGGGACAACTAAAAGTCTCTCTTTGCTCACCAGTGTGTGGTCATTTTGCAAGGCTAGCTGACTAATGGGTCAGACTTGTTTGAACGCTGTACTGCACCTGGAAGCAGGAGGCTGAAATGTGCAATTGAGTGGTGGTTTTGAACTGTGGGGCTGCAGTGTGTATTAAAAATATATGACTCCTTTCCTCCTCTCCATTTGATCTCAAACCGTTCCCAGAGACTGATTCAGGGTTTCCACTGCCTCAACAATAGCTGTGAGAGAGCCTGTTGCCTTCAAGGCAGACGGGATGGAGGTATTTCTTACAGCTTCAGGCTGATGAAGCTTGGTGGAAGGAGCAGTTTACTTTCACCTGTTGTAGCTGTGAGCAATATAACCTGAAATAGTGTCTAGTTTGTTACGAAATGGAACTTTTAGCAAACAGCTGCATTATTTTTTTCCCCTCTGGAACAGATTCCTTCCTTCCTGAATTAAGTGTTAATTTAGGAGGAACTACTGAAATTTAAACTTATTTCCCGGTGGGGAAATAAAATTTCCTTGGAAGTTTATTCGGCTCTCATGGGTGTACACCTTGCTGGGGTTCCCGTTTATATCATGAGAAAGAGAGGGTGTTCTTTTCTGCATCCGTTGAGCCAGAAGGAACGGCTTGCTACCACAGCTAAGATCGGATGGGTAGGAGGAAAGTACAGAGAAATGGGCCCCTTTAGGTTCACAAGAGGGTCATGTGCTCACGGCATGTATTTCTGTGGCCGCTGCTCTGTGGATTTCAGAGCTTGCTTTCTGCAGGACTTAAAGCAGAGAATGCTGGTCTAGAACAGAAGAGCATTTATTATCTATATATAAAAGAAGCCAGGCCGGGAAAAGCCCTCAAAGTTCAAAGGAGTAAGCAATGATATCTGAGCAGCGTAGGAGTGCTTCTTTCTGTATCCCCAGAGGAGTCTGCAGTTCAGAGACCTGGAAGTTCAGGATGTCAATGTCGGAGGCTCCGAACAAGGCGGTGACGTTGACCCTTTCATACATGGTGAAGCGGACGGGCCGCCCAGCCATGGCCCGCAGGCTGTGCAGGTAACGTTCCCGCAGCGCCACTCGGCTTTGCTGCTCCTGTTCCAAGTTTTCTGCGTTCCCGGAGCCCATGGAGGAGAGGCTGGCGGGACCCAAAGTCTGGAAACGAAGAGAGTTGGGATCAAACCCTCTTGAGCCATCCGGTCCACGGGGCAGGCGAATGACAGCAACAGGGACCTTCATTGTACCCCCCTGCTGACACAAAGGAAAAGAAAACATGAGAAAGGGATGTGGCTTTACATCTCTTCACGTCACCAATGGTCTGTTCAACTGTTTGGAAAGATGCCTTGCTGTTGACACTACTTTAAAACATTTCCTGCCATCAAGGTAAGGAGGATCCCATTAATATCCTGGCTGGAAAGCACCAGATCTCTTCTGATGGAGACGCTTACTGAAATAAACAGCTGTGATTCACTTCTGTTACCCTGCTCCTCCGATCACAAGGGCAGCTGCAGTGGGTACCCTTTGTGGTTGGTGAAGTGGAAGGCAGAATGTCCATGACGGGAGGAGCTGAGGGTGAGGTAGGGAAGTCACCCGTGTGTGCCTCCAAGCAGAAATACAGAAATGTTCTGTCTTTAGTAAGGCAGCGGGCAAAAGTGGGCTGGCTGTGTCTGGCCTCAAGCACGGTTATGATTAGTTTACTCCAAGGCAGAGGTGGTCAACCCTCCCCCTGGTCTGTGGCCTGAGCCGGACTGGTCCGCGGCAACAGACCTCCCGCCCCCCCACGCACTCACTCACTCTCCCCACAGCCGCTTTGCGCACACGCATGGCAGCA